GCGCTGCGGCGGCCCGGGGTGGGGGTCCCGGGCGGAGGCGGGGGCAGCGCAGGCCGAGGGGCGTCTGCGATTGTTCTCAACACCCCTCCCCCACCCCACCCCGTGTGTCTGTTTGTCACTTGCAGCTGAAGATGGAAAGAGCCAGGCGAAGGGGAGGCGGCGGCAGTGGCCGTGGCCGCGGCGGCAAGAATGTAGGGGGCTCTGGCCTGAGCAAGAGTAGACTCTATCCCCAGGCCCAGCACTCCCACTACCCCCACTACGCGGCTTCAGCCCCCCCTAATCAGGCTGGGGGCTTAGCCGAAATCCAGGAGCTGGCCTCGAAACGAGTGGACATCCAGAAAAAGAGGTTTTACCTAGACGTGAAGCAGAGCTCCCGGGGCCGGTTCCTAAAGATAGCCGAAGTCTGGATAGGGAGAGGCCGGCAGGACAATATCAGAAAGAGTAAACTGACCCTCTCCCTGTCTGTGGCAGCGGAGCTGAAGGACTGTCTAGGGGACTTCATCGAGCACTACGCGCACCTGGGCCTGAAAGGCCACCGGCAAGAGCACGGCCACAGCAAAGAGCAAGGCCCCAGGAGGAGACAGAAGCACTCGGCACCCTCCCCACCAGCGTCCGTGGGGTCCGAAGAGCACCCCCACAGTGTCCTCAAAACAGACTACATAGAGAGGGACAATAGGAAATATTATCTGGACCTAAAGGAAAATCAACGGGGTCGTTTCCTAAGGATTAGACAAACCATGATGCGGGGGACTGGCATGATAGGTTATTTTGGCCACGGTTTGGGCCAGGAACAGACTATTGTCCTCCCAGCACAAGGAATGATTGAGTTTCGTGATGCCTTGGTTCAGCTAATTGAAGACTATGGTGAAGGGGACATAGAAGAACGAAGAGGTGGAGACGAAGACCCACTGGAACTCCCAGAGGGGACTTCTTTCAGAGTGGACAATAAAAGGTTCTACTTTGATGTGGGCTCTAATAAATATGGAATTTTCCTGAAGGTAAGTGAGGTGAGGCCACCTTACCGTAATACTATTACTGTTCCATTCAAAGCTTGGACAAGGTTTGGGGAGAATTTTATGAAGTATGAAGAAGAGATGAGGAAAATTTGCAACAGCCATAAAGAAAAGAGAATGGATGGCAGAAGGGCCAGTGGTGAAGAACAAGAATGCCTCGACTAGAGTGAAATTGAACTCCATCAGGCAAAATTTAAAATCATAAATTGGCTAAAAGTACTGATCCGTAATCATTTCAAGAAGTTTTTCCTCTTTTTGGCCCTTTGTTAGTAATACCTCTACTAGTTTATACTTCAAGGAGTCTGATTCTCATGTTATGTTATACATAGAACACTATAATTCTTATGGGAATTCCAACCTTCCCAGAGCTAAATAGTTTAGCTGCTTCAACTGCGCCAGACTATTGAAGTATGCAAATCAGCACAAAATGTGACATTCTGACCTTCTAAGTACCATAACTAAGATTTACATTGCACTATGACATAATCCTGAAAAAAGATACATATACTTAGTATGGAAGTGTGAATTTCTATTTAACAGGTTCCCCCAAAAAAGTATTCCATCCCTACTTCTTTAAAAGCTGCTAAGCTTACTCATGGGACACTTACCACAGAAACAGAAATTGACCTCAAGTAGAGTATAAATATATTTATTTATAAAAGTACAAGTAGAAGTATATTGTCCATTGGATAAGTGATTATTAAACAGTACCATTAAAGAATCAAATCTTAGAGTTACTGTAGTTTTCTATAATTTCAAATATTGTGGTAACCTTACAGTTTTTAGTTGCCATATTAAAGCCATGGGAGAGTTCTAATTGGTTATTCTAAGCTAGTTAAAATCCCATCTTCACCTCCGCTTGTTGTACCATACTTGTGTTGACTTTTTAAAGTTTCAGGAATTACTTTTATGTCACTGTTGAGTGGGAGGCTTCATCCTATGGCTTTGCTATGGAAATCTTGGTGTTTTAGCTTTTCATGCTAATTTGAAGGTTGTGAGAAGTTTTCTTCCCAAAATATATCATGGACGCAAGGTGTTATATTTTATGCTGCTGCTTTAACACTATTTCAGAGGGGTTGGTGCACCAGTTAACTGATACAAGAATACATCTGTAATAATATATTTTAGTAGCACTTTTGCAATTGCTGCCCTTAAAACTGTGTCAACACTTCCAATATAAACCTGGCTTTTCCAGGTGTTTTAATTCCAGAAAAAAAAACAAAACTTTTTTTCTAAAAAGCATTTAGAATATAAGTTTTCGGCCTGGGAGTAATACTCTTTGAAGATTGGTTATAAACATATTAGAAAGGAAAATTCAGGCATTTTCCAAGGTGCTCTTTATGATACTTAAAAAGGTTTACTTTACGTAAGACTCACCCATTTACCTGTATTAAAAATTACTTTTCAGGAAGTGCCACTACAATTTTTCAACACCTAAGCAATTTTTTAAACAAGTGGATATAGTGTATGTGTGTACCAACCACCCTGTATTAACTGACTGAAATTTTATCTGTTGAGCTGCATTTTATTCTGAATGAAATTACTGTCTTTTATCTTGGCTTTATTCACCTCCCACACAATAAGTCCATAAATCATGTTTAAGAGCCAGACTCTGATTTCAACCCCCAAATATAGCTCTCATTGATGAGAGCTGGCTGCATGGGTTGAGATCAGAATGTAGCTCTTCTTTTATAGGCTGTAAGTAATTCACAATTATTTTAACAAGTTTTTTCCTCCAGAGGTTTGTCCTTGAATACATTTAAGTAAGATCACTAAGAAAACTTTATGATATGAATTAAGAAAATGAATTTCACTGGTTTGTTACTTAAAAACAAGCAATCAATAATCCGGACATATATGCTGGTATTGGTTTGAAGATTGTATTTCACGTTTCCTCAAGTAGTATGAAGGAATCTCATTAGTTCATTAAATTGTGGACCATCTGGAACAACTGAAGGTTAGAAGATAATGTTAGTACCAGAGTTAATAGCACATGGTGGGTGTTGAGATTCTAAAAGTGGCAAGGATCTTTATACAGTCCTAACTGTAAAATAACTATTGTAGGCTTGATACAAGATAGTTTTTGGTATATGAGGGAGTGGTGTGCACTTGAATTACTGTACTACTGATTGTTATTGCTGCCCGTCATAGTGCCTATTAATAATAATCAACCTGTCAGATTTGGCAAACTGGAGCTGTGAATATTCCAGTATTTGAGCGTTCCTATCACTATTGCTGTGACTGTATACTCTCTTATAACCTTCCTTTCTAAAATATTTATATCCGTTAAGTCTAAATTATTTTTTTTAGTCTGATAAAATGAGTGTGTGTCTATATATATACATAAGTCTGTGTGTATATATATATATATATATGCATACACACATAATAGTATGTTGGACTTAAATATATTTAATTCATTGTATATAAATATTATTAGTTTAATTTTACATTAATTGTTTAAGTAAAGAATTAGTTAAGCAGCCAGATTTTCCACATTGTATGTATACTTCAAAGTTTTTACCATCTCAAAGTTACAGATTGGATAGATGCATATATACCGGCGACTGAATATAATTTAGACTCATTAAGCCTTCTGCCAGTCCTCTTGTTTCATTTTTTTATAGTTAATGTATTCCTTGAAAAATGAAATGATGCTATGATTTTTTGATACTTAAAATTGGCAATCATTCATTAGCCATAATCAAAGAAGATCCAGTTCAAAACTGTGGTATTAAGACATATATTGCCATGTATCTTATAAAATAAGCTACTATTCTTATCTGTGCAATATACATTTTATTTGTTGTCATTTGTAACATAAATGGAGCTGCAGTGTACATGGTATTCTTCAAAATAATAGGATCCCTGCCTTGAAGACATTAAACTCTTAAGGCAACTGGATGTTAGAAGTCCAAAAATGAGCATTGAAGTTAGTAACCAAAATTACTAGCTCACTGTATAATTCTAAAACACTGATGATGTTTGCACATAATAATCCAAGCATAATGAGGTACAGACTCAAACTGTAATAATATAAGCTAATAGTATGAAATTTGGAAACGGGTTCCTCATAATAGTTGGCAGTGTGCTCCTAGCTATTGAAAGCAGCAGTAATCTGTTGCTTATATGCAAAAGATGCAATGTATTATAAAAGTATTAAAGTTCTGCCA